AATATGGAAAAATGGGTATAAAATGTCTCCATTCAAAGCAGTCAAAAACATATAGTGTGCAGCTTTTTGGATTTTGCGATTTGAAGTGCTTTTTGTGGGATGCTGGCTGTAACTGTGATAATGTTTTGTTGAAAAAGATCCTCTTCTTTATTTAGAAGAGAATTTGATCAACCTTTGATTAAGCCCCTGGATTATGATCAAGCCCCGTCTCATCGCAGTAAATTCCACTGCTAGGAATAGACTTTTTTCATGGCTGCTGCATGGAGGGCGCCATAGCGACCAGCGTCTTCCGGTAGAATGCTAAACACTTCCGTTTACAGCGTGTACAACTGGTAATTTACGCTCCGAAAATGGGTTTCAATAACGTTTTTAATAGATAACAGAGTGTTTTTGTGACACACAACTTAGAAATGTGTCTGTTAAAGCCGTTATAATCCGTTGATGTGGTTCAAGCGCGTCAGAACTTCTCCTAGTTCACGTGTCGCCATCAGAAATAGTGAGTGTGTGTGTGTTCCCGGGCTGTCAGCTGTTAGCTCAGCGGCTCTTTAACACACGCACACACACACACACACACACACACACACACACCAACACTCTTTAATCCAAAAACATCTACTGATCACACACACACACACACACACACACACACACACACACACACACACACACACACACACACACACACACACACACACACACACACACACGAGTCTCACTGTAATCCCCTGCAGCCAGATGGTTTTGTGTCTGACCTGACAACTTAGATTTCTCTGTCTCTCCTCACAAACACACACTGGTGCTCAGAGTGGTTTGCAGTGCACACACTCCACCATGAGGTGATTTGCAGGAACAGCACACTGATCTGCTGACATTCTCCATACTATATCATCCACGACTACATACCTACTGTATGCACTACAGACTACACCATATACTACTATGTACTATAACTACTATATAAATATATACACACACACACCATAATATATACTACTAAATACACTCAACACATACTAAACCATAT